CTTAAAATACACTCTGACATGAGGCAGGAAAAACCAACCTCTAAAGCTAATTCAGTCACCAAACACAATGCTTGATGAAAAAGCCAGTATATTTTATCACTTTCTTTTTACATATTCCAGATAACATTACTGTGCTACACTGCACAAATAAAAATAAGATTATGTGGGCCAGAAAATTTTGACCCGTTTTGACATATTCGGCTGAAATTAAATTACCAAGAGAACATCTACTTAGATGCCTATGTTTCTTTAAAGAAAGTGCTGAGCAGATCACTTCAGGGTGCTTTGAACCAACTACCAACATCCGATTAGCTAAAAAATTAGGTACTAAACCACTAGCACAACTCAGGTGAACTGGGCTTGGGGAAAGGCTTCCTAGCATAAGACAAAGTAATCAAAGCAAGAGGGAAAATGACATACTTTGAGTGATGCCTTTGGCCTGTGCCAAGGTACTTCCTGGAAATGCTCTATTTCAGTCTCTCCACCTAATATTTATCTTTAACGTTCTCCCAATTGCTCAAAGCTGCTTCTGTCCAGTGACAAAGCATTCATAACACAGAGAGCTGTAACCTTGCAAAGACTTGGGCATGCACAGCCTCAGAGCCTTTAGTAAGACTTGTCACTATGTGCAAAGTTAAGTACATTCATAGGTCTTATCAGGATGGTGGCCAAAGATTATAGAGGCATCCAAGCTGGTTGATACAGTCAAGCCTGTTCTGTGGCACGTCTATTTTAAACTTGGGCCTTCTGGTTTGTATCTTAAAAGGTCTACACGTCTTAACTGATCTGCAGAACAAATTAACTTAGCAAAGTGAAAACAGTTTAGCCTTGATAAATGAATACGAACACAAAAGAGCAACTCTCCATGGTTCACGTACATCGACAGTCAGCACATAAAAGGCAAGGAATGGACTAAATTGTTCTTAACCAAGCAAGTAGCTTTACCAGCAAAACACAACAAATTGCCTGTCAAAGTAGTGACTAGGATGACAACACTCAGACAAGACCAAAACTTTATTAACTGGGTAACACATAATAATCTTAATCAGAACTATAATTGCTTAATTATCTAATGGGACAGAAAATGCTTCTTAATGAGCTTATATTCTCATTCCAAAGATAATTTTCTCAGTATTCTTTAAGATTTAAAACTTGTTAAAAATTGTTCTAAGTTGTAAAACAAAACCAGCCATATATTATAGACAACAGTGCCACTACACAGACCTTGTCTTTTTACTTCTGTTGTTTTGGTTTTTTGTTTTAATTTTAGGATGAAGAAACAAAAACTTTTCACCACATTAATGAAGAATAAGCAATATGAGAACAACTTGAGGGAAAGTGCCTGGTTGCTAACTAATGGGCAAGGATAGTTCTAACAAGCCCATTTAGAGCCAAGGATATTTAAAGTCATTTCACAACACTTGTAAATATAAAATAAGTGATATAATAGAACAATTTTAGATGTTTATTCGCTAAATTTAAGCCCAGGGCACATTTAGTCCCAGAAATAAATAGAAGGTAGATGCTCGTAGATGTTCGCTTAAGTTGCCAGGGCTGCAGCAAAAGCAGAGCTGTGGGAGTTCACATTAGTTGGCAATTTGCTCCGTGAAATGTGCAATTAACTCAGGAGGCTTTAAATATAGTTCTCATGATTTAAAGGCCTTCCAATAGATGGTGAAATTGTGAAATTTAGAAAGAACCCTGATTAAGATTTATATAAATATGGGTAAGACAGAAAAGAGGGAAATGGAGGACCAAAGAATCAACCTGACTGGAAGAGACATCAAAAACATGGGACAATTTTTAAGAAACTGTTTAACTACCGAGTCATAGCTTTCATTAAGATCTCTGCAGAATGGCCACCTCCCAAGAAAAGCCACAGAAAGGAAATATCATTAGAAAGCTTATGACTTTGTGAGCCCACCCTTACATTCAAGGCAGCAAACTGTTGCACTGTATTGTTGAGCAGGATGTAAAGAGCCTGCCAAGCACAGCCCACAGACCCGCTAATTAAATGAACTGATTGTGTTTGTTTTGGAACCGTTTGCCAACAAAGGAATGTGTCACACTGATTAGTGAGAGAAGGGTATGTAATATATGTGTATTCAAGCCCTGAGGAGTGCATAACCCAGGTATTCACTCTGTTTGCCCAAGGACTGACAAAAATGACTCAAGCAAATAACCAGACCAAAGAGAAACTCCAGCCCTCAAGAGGGGCCCTCTTCTTCTTTCAGCTGCATCTATCTAGAGAAGACCCATCATTCATAAATTCCTACTGAAGACTGATCCAGAAACTCCTGAGAATATTTTGGAGAGAAACAGTCTCTTCACCTCAAAGCTGACCTAAGAGATTATGAAGATGAAAAGTTAACAGCCAGCTGAGAACCCCTTTGGAATTGCACTGACCACTCTGACAGCTGTCACTCTTCTCTCTAAAGAGCAGGAAAGGTCAGGGAGGTAGCCAGAAAAACAAATGCCACCTCAACACAGACATACACACATACTCTCCATACAAGCAGGCTTCACTTTTCAAATATTCAGCAAAGAGCTGAAGTCTGCAAAATCTGTCACGCACCCGCTTTTGAATATTTCTAACCCTACAGCCCAGTTTGCTGGTAGAGTTAATAGCATGCTCAAAAGTGAACAAGCATCATTTAAAAGCAAGGAAAAACTGTCTTCAGAGTTCAACTGCTCTTCCCTCCTTAACTCAGCAGCTTCAGCCGGGGTACTTTGGCAGTCTAGTATTGAGCACAAAATGTGAATACTGTGCTGTAGACAGCAATTCCAGAAAACCAGGATGCAGAAAGGGAGTTGTAGTCAATTCTCACTGTACATTCAGGACTCAGAGTAGTACAACTAAATCACAAATCTGAGCTGTTTACTCAGAGCTCTGTACGACACTTAATTGGCAAGGAAAGCTGAACACGTCACCAGAATTTTCAGGTATAATTGCAAGTCTTCACATGAACCTTTTGCAGCTTGCCATTCCATCTGCCACAGGTTACTCTGTACGTTACCTGTTTCTAATTAGCCTCCTCACCCTATACCTGTCTTAGGTCAGCACACCTACCTCAGAAACCTCCCTCATCTTCAAGAGACAGAAGCAAACACAAAACCCCTCTACCTGGCATTCTCCCTTACTGCTTTGCAGCTGATGCAGCTGCACAGTAAAACATACAAACTCCTCTGTTGGCATAACTTGTCTCCAGAGCAAAAATATGGAACAGAAATAATCTGCTTAGTTTCACATAGTACACGTGCACACACGAGTAGTAATGAGATAAGAAAACTAACGAGGAAGGCAAATGGAAAATGCTGGGGAAAAAAACAAGGTCTAGTGATAAGGAGTACAAAAGGAGTAGGCAGGATGATCTCTGACAAAATCAGAAAGAGAAATATTGGAAAACTTGTCATGCTGATTGTGTTTTAATTAAAATCATTAACAAAGGCTGCTGTCTTTGGCATGACATGAACCACAACTTCACATTTGTGAAACATGAACAAAAGTCCTTTCTGGCTTCTAATTCACATAAAAGCAGGAACTAGAGCAGCTTCTGTTGGCTTGAACTGCTGACAAATACTATTTGATTCCAGAAGGTTTTAAACTCTGTAATTGCAAGGTATGTCTGATCTCAGCTGAAGGGCGGGACCCAATAATTTTTTTGGGAACAAAAATCCCCCAGACAAATCAAATTCTAAAGTAAACCTGTCTTCCCAAATGTTCTTACACGTTCTCATCAATCTTTCGGGAATATTTTCAATCGCCTTTTATACAGTCTCAACAGACATCTTATGTTTTATGCTATCTTAGTCTCTTTCTTTTTAACTCAGCCTATCTTGCCATGCACTCTAGATAAATTCTTTCTTAAAATTGTTTATAGAGCTCAGCTGCACACCTTGTCTAGCTTATGTCCACTGCTTTGTCAGTGCGTTCTTTAGAATAAGACTCTGGAAATAAAATGGGCAAACAGTCTTTGAAACTCAGATTAGACTGAAAAATCCTTGAAGAGTAGTTCTTGGTTACTTGTAATTTAACATCTTTGCACACACAGGGGAATCAGATTCTTAATAAGTCCTTTTAACAGGTTGGTCCTGATTGTTTCCAATTTTCAATTGGAAAAAATGTTTTCAATTTTTTTCCCCTTCAAATGAACTCTTTGGAGAAAACGACTGTATTTGAAACAGCCAAAGAGTACTTATCTGTGGAGGAATGCTGTGCTGTCAGATACACTGTCTTTCTGTTAAGGGTGAAAAACCCTATCTCTTTTATTCAAAATCCAAGACACTATTGGAAAAGAGCAGTAACATTGCTGTTTCCAAGTCTATTCTGGTTTCCTGCGTCTTGCTTTTAGGTTTTTCATGTGACTCCTGTCCCTGACCTGGCATCCAGAACTCTACATAATGTGAAATAAAGGTTCTTCTGTATAGTTTAGGACTGGCATACAGTTATACTTACTTTGTAGCCACCTGAGAATAGCAATGTCATTAAAAAGAATTAAATCTTGCATACACAGGCACAGAGGAGTAAGCACATGGAGAGAGCAGAGCATTAGCCATAACATTTCATGGGGGAAACACTTCAGAACAGATGGTGATCGTTTTATAATGGACAATCTCAGTACATTATGGGCCCAGTGATACCAGAGACCAGAAAGATGTCTGTGATCACTCCAGAGAAGCCATCTGGCTTTTCAGGACACTCTGTAAACTCAGAAGACTTTTGGATAAATCATGCTGTGTGATGCTACTGGGGACTCTTCCCTTTTTGAAGAGCTGTTCTGAGACCTACAGGGCTTTGGGAAGCAGCTCTTCTCATTTATTTCCAGGTCTGCTCAAGGTGGCCTCCCTGGACCAGTGATCTGCTGCACCTGCTCAGGAATGTGCACCAGTGGAATCCAGTCCCTAGTTACCTACGTATGAGGTCAGGAGGCCGGGAATCCGCAAGGGTATGATGCGTAAAGTGAATCAACTGTATGACTGACACCACTGCAGTAGAGTACCTGCTTGTAGAAATGTCCTCAAAGGGGTAAAGGATTTCTCCATTGTTGCAAATCTCACAGATGAAACCCTTTTGGCTACAAAGGCTGCAGCTGTACACATGAGAGGTGGCAAACTTGATCACCTTCCCCAAGAAAGGAGCCAGCTTTCCTTCAATAACCTGGAATGAGAAGACAGTATTGAATGAACCCCCCCAAAATTACTAGAATGCCCTGAAGGACTGAGACAATATTTATTATTATGGAAATTATAGGTGATGCTGGCAAAAACAATAGGAAAGTTACTTCCCAACAATTATAGCTCCATGAAATCACAAGTGATAATAGTAGCCAATGAACTAGCAATGATCTGAACATGAAAACTAATTTACAATCTCTTTTGAAGTCTCTACGTGGCAATAACATAAAATATTAGTACTCATTTTAAGTACAACAACAGATTCATATAATAAGGCACAAAGAAGTAAATAGGAAAAGAGTTTAAGGCTTCCCCATTATCTCTAACTGACAGATACGAGAATACTGCCTTACATTTACCATTTGCACTTCTTTTATTTTTTATGCACAGATGGCAGTTTTGTCTTTGTTTCTTTTCCTCCAAAGCACAAGTTTTTGCATATATTTTGTGAACGGAACCCTGGCTTTCCTCCTTTAGTAGGACTGTGTTTCCCTTTGAAAATCATTCAAATACAATATTCTGTTCCTTGCCAAAAGGAATAAATTCTCAGTTAAAGTCTTGAAGAGGAAGTGGGGTTTTTTCCCTTCAGTGTCCAGCTCTCAAATCGAGAAGTCCTTCACTGCCAGACAATCCTGGCTAGACCATTAGAAGTGATTAGCACTCCCCGTGTTGGTGTGAAAAAAACCAGCCAAGCCATATAGATTAAACTGCTAGCCACAACACTCATCTAAATTTGTGACTTGGCGACAATGCCTCAATAAGGGGTGCTATTCAGGCAAAATACTTTCCATTCAGATCAAACTTCTAGAGACTTTAAGGAATTCTGCAGCTATAGGGAATAATGAACATCGAATAAGGCCCTAAGTGTATATTCTTCTCTCCTGGGCTTCCTGTGGTCTGAATGGCAGCTTGCCAGATTAGTGATAGAAATGTGTCACTAGATTTGACAGTAAACTCCTGTATAAAGGAAAAAGAATGCACTAATTGCTGATTGAAGACTTGCACAAGGCTGTGCCTTGAAACCTAAGAGAGGGGAGATTTACACTTAAATATGTGCCAGATTCAGTGCAGGCACCCCTTCCCTAAATATGGTAACACACCACGTGTAATTTGGATTTAGTGTAAACAAATCTAGAGAAAGCATAGAGGTCAAGGCAGAGAAGAACAACAGAGTTTGGAAGCAAATGTATGATAGAAAGGAAATAAATTTGTGTTCCAGGAAAACTCCCTGCCCGCTACATAAGATAGTCACTGCTAAAGAGTACACCTGGAAAAGGAGGTGCACAGGTAGCACTGGTGTTGATGGCATTGAATGGCACTGGCTGAAATGTGCCCCCTCTTTGCCTTCAGCTCCAGCCTGCTAACAACACCTGCAACAACAGGAAGCAGCAATGTTATTGCTAGAACTGCAGATAGGACATCTGCTCATGTCAGAGGAAAAATGACGTTCCTATTGCATCCTGGTATAGGAAGATCCCCTTCGACCACGATATAAACAATGCAGAGAAGCTGCTGCATGAAATATGAAAGTGAAGCCATAGTTCAAGGCAGTGGTATTACTAACCTTCTAACAGATGGTCAGAAGCTAATTTAGCTCCTCTATGCTGGGTTTTGTTTTTCATTTTGAAGGAAGAAATTTTTTGCTTGCAGACTCCTGAATTAGAGAGGGTCTGAAAGCCAAACAAGTTGGGAGCAGGGGAAAGACACAAAAGCTGCCAATATTCAATAAACAGGAAGAAAGAAACAGTGAAGCCACACAGGTAACGACACTGCTATAGTCACCCTCCAAAAATCCATTTAGCACTAACAGATGAAATACTCATACAAAGATAAATAAATCACAATACATGCATATTTTCCAAAGAATTTTCATGCTACAGCAGCCACCTCAGGCCACAAGTGCTCAGCTTAAAATGCCAGACTGAAGACACAGCTGCAAACAAACTCTCTAAGTCTGTACTAATGTCACTGTCAGCAAAGATTTAAAAGTCACTGAACTGAAATAACATTTTATATAATGTAATAAACAAAATTAACATGATCTATTCCTTCCTAAGCACCGTGGGTGAATTTAAGACTGTGTGAGGCACAAAAGTTTTCCTATACTGAAGAGTTCACAACCTAAGCAAGATATATTGAGTGGACAGCTGCCCTTGAAGAGCTGGTGTTATTTGCCCCTGGTTATTTATTTGTATGGCTTGTCATAGCACTCTAGTGGGTGGGCTTGTAACTCTGGCCACTGCAGACATACAATGAAGATGATACCTTCAAAGAGCCGTGCATGCCAATTTTGCAATGTGAATTACAGGCTATTTTACTGTATTATAGAAGGAAGACAATGTAGCATCAAACCAATGTTATCACTGTTTTTAGCATCTGTAAATTTTGTGCTATTTTGTTTCATCAGAGACCTCAAGGCTGTGCACAGGATATGACTTTTCCTTGCAGCCTTCTTTCATTCGTGTTTGCAGCTAATAAGGATAAAATCCTCATCTCCATTGACCCTGGGAAAGCAGAAAGGAATCTACTTGCTGTCCCCAGTAGGAGTTTCATGGTAACAGTTCCACAGTGAGTGTTCTCTGGCTTGGGAAAAGGAGCATAGGGCATGTAATTAAAGCTGTCAAAACTTCTCCTGTGACAGCCAGGGGCCCAGGGTCAGTCAGTTTAGACATCCCAGAACCACAGTGGAAGACCCTCAGGATGTTCTCCCAGCCGATGCTAGATTCTGATTTTAAGTTTCAAGGAAACACAAGCGATTAAAAGAACAGAAGAGTGTTAATCAAATGTAATGCATTATCCAGATATCATGGAAATTATCAGAGAAAAAAAAGACCTCAAGAGACCATCTTGGCAGAGCCAGTAATATTTATGTCATTCTTTACAGCTGTACCTGTTACTAAGGCCTTTCAGTGACCGAGATTTCACAGCCCCCATGCAGTCTAATCCAGCATACGTCTGTTCTCACTGCTGGAGTCACTCCTAAGCTTTGACCTGAACCTTTCCTAAGGACATTTCAGTTTACAAAATAAACTTACAAAATAAGTTTACAAAATAGAGAAACTGTGAAATCACACACTATGAGCTGCAGAAGAATACATCACATTTCAGAAGAAATGTGGTAATTTAGGACAAAACTAAGTTAAGAATATGCCAGAGGAAAAGAAACCAAAAATTTCACCATTGACTTATCCCAGTAATATAATACAGCCTCAGCATGCATCTAACAAAGGCTTAAAAATATATTCCTGTCTCTCAAAAAAAAGGCATGAAGCTTAAAACAAATTAAAATTTTGCTGAGTTCAGATTCTCTTCTACTACAGCACACATGAAGAGCAAGGTCTGTTTTCTAATCCAAAGTCTTTGTAGTGCAAGCAATTGTTTTGTTGTCAAAAATTAAGGATGAGGGGTGATTAATGATGGCGTCCTAGTCATCAATTGACGAAGGGTACAACACAGCTTTCTCTTCCTAAACTGATCAAGGAACACATCCCAACATAATTTTGGACACAGAGCCATGTTCCTACAGTTAGCTTATCACTGCTGCACCTGGGATATATGGGGTGCACTACTTGGTGACAACAAAAGGAAAACAGTTGTGTCCAGAGGTCCAAAGCAAGCTGTGTCTCTTAATAGTCCCAGTGTTCAGATCAGAATCATTGTCCATCTCTCTGTATCTGGAAAAACACTTCTCTGAGCTACCACAGGACAGAAAGCCATGGCTTTGCACGCTGCAGCTCCTAACTGTGTGTCTCATGTTAAGAACTGTATAAAAATACACACCCACATGTACATACATAAAAGCCAGGCCCTGCCCTCAAAGCGCTTACAATTTAAACCATAAAACAAACACTGCTTTTTACAGTAACTGCCACATATCCCCCACCTTAAATGGGACCAACTGTGTTTTGGAGGAGCCTCCCACACCGGCTCCCTGCCCACACTGCAGAGAGCATCTATGTCCTGGGCTGCCAGGGAAGGGAAGGGAGAAACTAGGAAATCCAGCAGCAGCAGCCACCTGCCCCACTGCCCAGCCTCCTGCACCTGGCTTGGGAAAGCTGAAGTTGTATTGAAGAGCAAGAGGGGAAGGCAGACTTGTCTGCAGCACTGGGAGAAACTAAAGGAGTATTTGAAGTAAAGTATCTGAACACATGCCAAAGGGGTGTTGGGACAATTATTTTACATGCTTTCTAGAACAGAGGCTTTTCATACAAGTCAAAGTTATGAATAAAGGTAAATCAAACTTTCTTCTCAGTATATCTTTGTGCTACTGTTGAGTTGGGGAGTGGTATAATTCCAAAGAAACAATTAAGCTCTGAATGAGCGAGGTGTGGGGGAGGAAATACAGGAACTGCTGAACACCAGAGGACAAGCCAATGTTAGCAAAGGCTGCAAGAGGCTTGTGCAGTGGGAAGACAGGACACACATGCACTGGGTTATGTTTTTCCTGATCCAGCAGGAAGACAGAGAAGCTAAAAGGAAGGAGCAGGGGCTAGGGTACAAGTTGAAATCCCTTTGATACATGATATTAATATGATTATGAGGGCAATGTGTGATCAGTCAAAGTTTAACTACTTGTCAGGAGGGCTGCTGGCCTCCAGAAGTTTTGTGATCCTTCTATTTAAAGTTACTCATAGTTCCCTTGCTCTACCAAGGAGATGTTTCCAGAAACAAGCGGGCAGCCATCTGACTCCAGAGAATAAGAACTGGAAAGGCCATAGACCTCCGAGCCAGAGAAATCCTCCTCAGTGGCCCACTATGCACAAAACACTATGCACAAAACAGGGCCATTATTCACAGACAAATTCCAGAAGCAGCAGGTGTTGCCCAGGGGACTCTCACTAGTATCCCTGTGTCCTACCTTCACAACACATTTCTGAGCCCATGACACTGCCCAGCACTGGAGGAGAGGCAGTCCCCTCATCTCCAATACATACTGAGGTACAGCTCTGTCCTGACTCCATCTCTCATCCCAGCTCTCCAGGTCAAGCACAATGCTGATCGAAGTCCACCTCTGAAGGCCTCCACTTCCCAGCCCTTGCCTTGCCACTGTGCAGCACAACCCCCCAGCCCATTACACACAGCAGAGAAGTCAAGTCATTTTGTCTTTTCTTTACAGTCAACAAGGACTCCTTGTATGAGAACCTACTTACCAGCACGAAGGAGGGTTGCACAAACCAGTCCCACGGGAGAGCAATATAGTGAACATGGTGTTGCAACATATGTTTTCATATTAAAAACCAAACTAGAAAAGTGGCCAAGGGAACAGTGGCAGAACTTCTCAAGTCTCTTGAGAGTTTTAACCCAGAAAGATGGTAACCTAAACTAAAGGCTTGTAATAGCTTTCTGTTTGGAAAACAGAGCAAGATCAAAAACCAGGCATGAAAAAACCTTATTACAGAATTAGTTAGAGTTTGTTCCAGTCCCTGACAGTTGTTCAAATTAGAAAGACATTAATAGAAGCCTCTGACTGTGTCTAACTGAAAAGCAACCAAATATTGATTAGACAAGGTAAGCACAGAAGTCCCCTGCAAACTCACACTGTGTCATTTCCAAAGAGATAATATCACAACTTAAGGGGGAACTAGAGGAGAGATGTGTAGAAAAAGAAGGACAAATTAGTTAGCTGTAACCCACTCTTACTTCGATTAACACCTCCATAGCCTTCTGCCCACCTATTAGATCAGGTCCACAGAAATACCCAACCTCTGCATCATGGCCACATAAATCGATACTGAAATCTATCAGATGTGATGAACTTTCTGGACAGAAGAGAAAAAACAGTACAGTTTTCAGACATTTCTCAGGGCAGTGAGTGTTTGTTTTGAGGGCAGGGCTCCTGCCAGCAAAGCTAGCTAAGATACAAAAGGTAATGAGTAAGATCTCCATCCCTGCAGGAGTCTATGTTGTGAATTTGAGTGAGAATCATCAAATCTCCTACCCTGTCTGTGCATTTTTACCAACTTCTAAAAGTGCAGTAGATGTTTACGTAGCATGGAGATCATAAATACCTTTGATCACCTACATCAGGACTGTCAAGACAGTAAAGGGAATATGGCTTGTTGAGCTTTTGGATACACTGCTCTGCTCAATGTGAGAAACCGCCAAGGTTAAGAAGTCTAAATTCTGAACAGCGTCACAGTATGTTAAAACCACATAAACGGTTTCTCGATTAAAATAACTTTTGGATTAAATTTGCTAGTCTGAGTAATTTGTACCATATAATGAATGTACAATCTGACACAGTTTTAAAAAAAATCCTTATATTAAGATCCAAGAATCAACAGATGAAGGATATTTTAACAGAAGCTATACAGAATCTAAGAAAAGGAAGATAAATCTACACACATCTGTGGGTAGATATTCTGCCACCTACGGCACAAGGGCCAGTCAACAACCATAGGCATCATGTAACAGTGTGTCTAGGAACACTGTCATTTCACTGTGGCTACATGATCAGGGAATAAACACTGAGAGGGGAACTAGAAATGTCCCTGACGCTTCTGAATCCTTAGACTGGGACCTGTACTTTCCTCATGTATCAGAAGCACTGTAGGAAACCCCAGTTATTATCCTCATAAAGGAGCACCTGCTCCTACTGCTCTGCTTAAGAGCCTGGCTGCCAGCTTTAAGTATTCCAGGTAAAATGGTGAAAATACTGTAAAACTCAGGTTTTGTATCACTGCCACTGTGAGACAAGCTAAATTTGCCAAATGGCTTTGTGACCCCACCCTTGTAAATCAGCTTGTTAATCATTATCGTCATAGAGGCGATAAAGTTGTTTTATGAGCCAACACTGAAGCAGTAACATTAACTACTTATGCAGGGGCTGGTGTATTTCTCTGCAGATAACATTTATTAGAAGGCACTCTTTAAAGACACAGGTTTGCCTCATAACCTTCTTTTGAAGCACTAAGCAATCTGTTCCTCTTATTCCTCCAGTCTGATTTACATGTCAGACACAAGTGACGCCTGGAGGGGATGGGTTAAGTGATATGAAATCCCTAAAACACCTTGAACTACAGGTTCAAATCTCAACTAGATTGGCCCGGCCTCTCCTTCTGACAGAACAAAATTTATGATTATTTCTCAAGGCCAGATGTACACTTGGCTCTATCTGAGAGGCAGACACAGACAGAATTTGCCAGGAGGCACTGACGCAATGCCGAAGAGACATGAAAAGGCCAAGAGGCACTGAGAAAATAGAAGGGGTGGTAGACATGAAACTCATTCACCATCCCCAATTATGTACATTGAAGAGATAGAAAGTACTTTAATTATCAGGGATAATGTCACAAGCACGTCTGGCAGAAGGAAGCTATCTGAAGAAGCAGTCAACAATCACGCACAGCTTTCCATCATCCTCTAAAGACAAGGCTTCTGCCTCCTCTCAGTTGTTTTCTTTCTACCTGTCCAGAAACAGCTAGTCTGAATCAGGCCTTTTGCTAACAAGTTCAGAAGTAAGCTCCAGGTTCGCCTAGATTTCAGAGCACCACAGAAAATATGCTTCCTGGACTGAATGAAATGGCAAATAAAATATCCTGAACAGACCGTCTTGGATTCACTACTTGGATGCTCACTACCCTCCAAATTCCACTAGTGGAAGCTTTGTGGAGGAGGACTAAATGTTTCATAATCTTTCTTCACCTCCAAGACAGATGAGAAATACGTTTTTGAAGAAACTACCAATGACCTAAGAAAATAGGGCTAGAAAAAACACCTTTAGAAACCTCCAGTTTGTTCCTCACCCCGCAGCACAACCAACTGAGAAACGACTGTCTGACTTGCTTTAAAACCTCTCACCACAGATATCCTACAACAGTCCAGTGCTCAGAACAACTGGAAAGTTGTTCCTAATGCCTACCTTAGATCTCTTTTGCTGCAGTCAGCTATCTTTGTTTTACACTCAACTTCCTATCCTTACATTGCATCACCTGTTTCAGAAACCATTTTCTGACAAATTCTCTTCTCTGTCACAGGTGATCTGTGTCACAAGCCAG